AGATCCATACACACGCGTATGCCAACGAAAATTATTCCCGCTGACGTATGAGTCAGGGCAGACGATCCATTGTAAAAGCGGCATGGGCTCATAATCTGGCGATGTAGGATCTCCAGGCCGAGCTGACCGGAACTGCGCCTATGCTCTCTCGCCGGAAGTGGCGCTGCCACATGTAGTAATATAAATTATAATGCCCTTACGGTTTTTCCTTTCGCGGATTTGCATTTAAAACACCGGAATGGCATTGTCGTCGGGGATCGGAGCGGGCGATTTTCATGGAAATAAGAAAACCGCGGGGGCCATCGCGCTACCGCTACCTTTCGCCTTTGCCTCTTTTGCCACCATCCTCGATCGATGTTTTGCTCCATGTTTTTCTCGCGGTGGCGAGATAAAACGGGGAAAAGAGAGAACGCACACGCTCGTTCTCCGTTGATTTCCATCGAATCGTGCCAAGGCTAATCGGAGATCAAATCTGGAAACGGCTCGCTTTCACCGGCTCGGACAATGGGCACTAAAGCTTTTCTAATTCTTTTTTTTTTCTTTTCTTTTCTTCTTTGTTCGTCTTCTTTTTCCACTCGTCTCTGTCTCCTTTTGTTTTTCCTTCCAAGCTTGATTTTCCCTCCTTTTTCATCGACTGGTCAACGAAGGCCTCGTACGATGCAGTTAGGATGCGTGAGATATAGTGGAGTTTCCTCAATTAATTAGTCGGTATGCTAATAGCGAAAACACCGCAACAGGCTAATTAGAAATTATTTATTAACTGTTTATCATTGATGATAGTTGTATTTATTAGTATATGGACTTGTGTTAGATGTTTTTTTTTTTTCAAGGACCATTACGATGAGAGATGAAACTGTTGTAGGAAGGATATTGTATCCTTTGTAGTAGTTTGTAAATTTGTCAAGGTTTCTTAGTTTGAAAGTAATCTTTGAAATCTCTTGCGTTAAGGATTGTGAAAAGTTGCATGTAAGATTTATCATAAAATTTTTTTTCAGAAGGTGAAACAAAGTTTCTCAAATAATATAATTACTTACTACTTGTGGAAAATTATATTTAATTCTCTTATCACGAAGATAGTTTAATTGTTCACTGAAAAAAAAGATAATAAAAGAATAATATATAAATATCTATATATGTATACATATAATTTAGTGTTAAAGTCAATGATATTATGTCATTTCGACATTAGAACAGATTTTTTAAATAAGTATATTTTGAACTTTGCAAGTAATGCTTTATATATTACATTATGACATCAAATTCAGATATAAATAACAAATAACATTTATCCTTAACTTTGAAATCAATTAAAATAATATATTTATATACTTATTCATAAAAATAATTCAATTTTTTAATATTTTCCTCAACTCCACATTAAATAATTTTCAAAAGATAGACCTTTCATCCTCACAAAACTTCTTCATGTAGCATCCATTAATACAAATAGGATCTTCAAATAATATTTTCTTGTGGAAATATTTAATTTCTCTAATATATATTTTAACTTATTTTTCAGATCTGCAGTGGACGATCTATCCACAGGGCATCCGGATTTTCCAAGTAATCCTGCAAATGCTCGATGGCAGATCTTCCATCTTCACAAAACTTCATCATGTAGCATTAATACAAATAGGGTCTTCAAATAATATTTTTTTGTGGAAATATTTAATTTCTCTAATATATATTTTAACTTATTTTTCAGATCTGCAGTGGACGATCTATCCACAGGACATCCGGATTTTCCAAGTAATCCTGCAAATGCTCGATGGCACCAAGGACACCCCGATGGCGCGGAACAACCTCTCTCGTCGTGGCTGGATCGAAGTTACGATGGAGTCCGCGGCGTTTTACGTGGATTTTATATGGGAAACTGATTCGACCACGAACCAGAGGATAATATAACACCGGGGGCATTTTGTTTTGTTGCGCAAGAGGATAATAAACATCGTTCGGGACCGCTACCGTGCCGACTAGATAGCTACGACGATGAAACAATGCGGCATTGTCCCGAGTAGGCCTGAACCGCCAAAGCACAGCCGAACCCAAGCACCGTGTTAAGTCATGAACGGCGTTGCACACGGCCTTAGAAAACGTTCAACTGGAGCCTTCGATAGAACCTGACCCCGGCCAACCATGCTCTCCAAGGGAAAAATCATGGCAACGGCCTCCGTGTCTTCGGCGGAAACGGAAGATCGATTTTATACCAGCGCCTCATGTCCTGAAACATTTGAGAGAAGGAAGATATTAGAAGGTGGTGATAATGATTTCTTTTCAGTATACTCTTAGTGGAGTAGATATGATTAGTTATATGGTGATAAATAATGTTTTGATATTTGTTTTTTTTAACAAAATGAATTTTCTTTAGAATGAAGATTGATGAATTTGATGTTATCAAATATAGAAATTAAAAAATATATATAAACTATTGTAAATAGATATTAGAAATGAAATGATTGATGAACAAGAAGAAATGAACATTTCTTTAAGAAATATTTATAGAAATATAATATTGAATATATTGCAAATAAGAGATTAAATAATTCTTTGTAAAAGTTATCCAAAAGACATTGTTTAGAATATATAGGATGATTCAAAATTATTTTTTGAAGTATTATATTTTTATATGATTGAAAAAATTCCTAAAACTTAAAACTCGATTGAGATGATTTAGAACAAGATAGATTGAGATTGTTTTTATAAAGAACATTAATGACTTAGATGCAAATTTTTATATATTCCATTACATGATAGATTCTTATATTCTGATATACTCATTCAAAAGTATATCATACATTTTCAAATTATATTCATATATTTTATTCATATATTATATTATATTTATTCATATATTATATTATATTTATTTTAAAAATATATAAAATATAATTGAATAAAATCTAATTTTGTTGACTATTTCTACTTTGAATATGTTAAAATTATAATCAAAAACCATTTTCTAAAAATTAATATAAATTATAACCTTGTAAAAATATATATATATATATATATATATATATATATATTCCAACATTTTATAATTTAAATAAGTATAAATCCCAATTCTCTCTCAATTGTTTATCGATTCATCAACATTTTACTATAAAAACAATGTTCTTGAATATTTCATATCCTATCCATAATACTAACTTTCTATATCACTTTCATGGCATAATTTTCTTATTTATTTAATTAGTAATAAACTTTCAAAATTCGAACAAAAGAGATATATTTTACCATATTATTCATCGTAATATTCTATTTTTCAAGATAGCAAGAGCGTTCTTTGCGAGCAGTGTTTTACAAATAATTCGAAACGGGCTTGCTCGAAGGACGATTCCTTCGGGAAGAAGATTTTTCCGGTAGAGCAGGCGGCTCTCCTCGATTGTTCACGTTGTTCACGGTGCAATGAAAGCTCGAAGGTACGAACAAAAAGCCGTGAGGTAGACATAAATAAATAGGTGGTGGGTGTGGTTGGTAGGCCGCACACATGGCGTCGTGACCCGTCTCTTCCCTTCGTGAGCTCAGGGCTCGCTTAAGTTATGCCCTGCGGAATGCTGCTGCTCCCGCTTCTTTCGATGTCGTGGCTAAACGCAGTTTCATCGTATCCTCGGCTTAGTTTCGCCTCTTTTTTTGCTTTTCGATCTCGATTCGCTTGTATCTAATGTTTATATAGTTGAGTATTAACCTTTCTGGCCGAGTTCAATTAGCCGATTAAATGGAAAATGGATCTTCTTCTTTTAAAATGAATTGTCTATTTAGTTGAATATTCAGAAATTATATACATTTTTTATTAAAAATATTTATACTTTTTTATGTTGATTTTAATCCTTTTGATATTTTGTAATGTAATACGAAATAAATTCTGTGAAAAAGAAATATAATTTTGAGTGCAATATACATATCAACATTAATCAAAAGGTCATTGCATTATTCATTGTTTTTTTGTCTTTCTAAATTATTATTATTATATTGGTTCAAAAATTTCTAAATTTTAATATATAATTAATTTTTCATTAAGGAAATTAAAAATATTAACATTGAAAAAGTAAATGGTTATAAGGTCTCTTACACATTCTCAAATAAAATGTTAGCAATTAATATTCTTTTTTTTTTTCAATTAATCGCTATTTTGATCGTTTTTGTAATGGGAACATCTTTTCGGAATCTTAAAAATGCATCGCACGCGCTGCGTCCGTCGGAATCGTGAGGACGATTCAACCAGATAAAACCTTCCTTCCATAAACAGAAATACGGAAATCACATTGTGAAGACACAAATATATCTCTTGATAATACGATGGTCCAGAATATCCTTTTATCTTTATTTTCGTGAGAACTCTTTCCGCAGGATGATTTTAATTAAAAATAATATTCCAAATATATTAAATATGCTTCCAAATTATCATCATTCGTACCATAACCTATCACTATCAAATAATCGATTGAATAGAATTCAATAGAAAATTATCACTTAGCATTAATCCAGAGAAAATAGTAATCACCTTTAAACAGTTTCTTTTAACTAATATTCGATGGAGCAACGGTACAACAATCAGCCGTTATATTATAAATTAAAGTCGAATGAAAGATTCGCTTCACAAACTGTATGAATAATTTATACGTCGACGCGAGCGCCAATATGTATTCGTGGACATATGATCTACCCCGCGAAGATTCAATGGCATATCGAATATCGTTGAAAATATCGATTACTCGAAATTCTCGAGAAAGCTTTTCGACTTATTAACTATCAATATCTCGTTATTCACACTCGTTTTATATCGTAATCGTACATTAATCGATAGAATTAAGATGGTAGATATTCTAAAAACAAATTCATTAGAAATCTGTCATGGAAATTGGCACAGAACGTAATTCGATTAGACTAGACATGAATTTCAAAGATGGCCGAAGGCGGTAGAGTATATCGCAATGGATCTTAGTTATTAGTTGATAATCCAACGTGCACAGGGTGGAGGAAAACGCGGTTGATCCGACAATATATAGCTACAGTGTTTAATTATCGCCCACCCTAGAATTTGCTCGGCCGTTTACCGTTAGAGGCGGTGCTCGATGTATATACAAATATAGCACGGTTCGTGATTCGCGGCAAACCGTTAATAACGCGCAAAGTGTCTAAAAGCTGCAACATTCGCAAAGTTGTGGCATCGTCGGACCATAAAATCAAGAGCATCCAGCGCAAAAGAGAATTTTATACATTTGTAATAATATTAAAGATGAATTTGTTCTCGAAATTATATTGAAACTCAAAATAGAAATTAATCATTTCATCCCTCTATTATTCTGTTTAAGATTTTTATATAATTTACAGATAAACGAAGAAGAAAAGGATCCATTTTCAAACTATTAAAATTCTGTTCTAAAATGAAATCATGGAAACGATTTATAAAGAGATATTTTTTTTTTTATTAATGTATAATTTTTCATAAAAGATATCTAATTAATTAAATATTTTTATGATCAATTATCTATTAAGATTATTAATAATAAATAGAAATTTAAAAAAGGGGATATTCATAAAAAACAAATTTTAAAAGAAAAAAGAGCATTTACAAAATTATGATATTCTTCTTAATAAAAACTAAGAAACTAAAATTTCGAAGAGTTTAGAAACAAAAAATAATGATAATTCCAAAAGATAAAAAATTAATAAATTATTTTATAGCACAATGGCATGATAAATACCACAATGTTGAGAAACAAATTGATCACGATGGAAAGATTCGTGCGATTTAACGAGTGCACTGGCTCCACGGCGAAAAGACCCCAACCCCCGGCACAATCTCCGTCAATTTATCTACCGCGGTGCATTTAATTCCCCAATTACGGGAAACTTTCATTGCACATGATAATTGCGATCCCGCTTCCTAATTAAACCCCATTAATCTCTTATTACGGAGTTGCCGTTGATTCATCCCCGTTTTATATCGCGTAATAAAAGAAGAGGAAACGTAATGAGAAAAAGAGGAGCGGGCAAAAAAAAAAGAGGCACAAATTAATAAAAGAATCACGTCTTTATCTGGTTCTCTTAAGCTGGCCGACAGCCGAGAGCCAACTGTATTCGTTTTAAAATCTCCAAACCGGAACAATGGCCTGGCTGGATGGATAATGAAAAAAAAAAAACAGCAAAAGAGAGATAGAAGGATGAACAGAAAGAAGATGGCGGAGAAAAGAAAAAGAAAAGGCTGAAACTGCCTATGGTAACGTGACAGAGTTACGATAATACAATGAAGGCACACGACCATATTTAGTCAATTTTCTTCTTTTTCTTTTTTCTTTATTCTCTTTTCTTCCCTTTTCTTTTCTTCTTTTCTTTTCCCCTTCTTATTATCCAGCCTCGATTAACTCGCGCGAACGGGTAGCCGTGTCCTTATATCGCGGCTCGATCGCCGCGGAGGAGGCGGCAGCGCTTTTTAAATAACTATAATGAGGGCAATTATCGTGTGCGCCGACAAGCAGAGTGTGACGAGTCGTTGTTACACATTACAGCATGAAGAATCGCTCGAGCTAGATGAAGGAATGGTATGGAGGGCTGAAAGGTGACAGAAGATTGTAACACAATATCATTAAAGTAAAGTAAAGAGAGATTTAAAGAAAAAAGAGAAAAAGATTTAAGAAAAGCTTCTGAGAAATCTGAGAGATTAAAAACAATGAAAAATAGAATATTTTCTAGTAAAACAGAAAGTAATTATAGAATCGATTATTGAATAATATGGAATATAGATAAAGATAATGCAAGAACAAGACTGTCGAAAGAAGAAAAACATTAAGTAAGATGGCGTTGTCAAGTAGTATAACATACAGAAAGAAAATGGAAGGCTAGCATTCTATCAACGATGAAGAGTAAAAAAAAAAAAAAAAGAAAAGAATTAGAAAGAGTAGTATAGATGGTTGAATC